CCCTCTCCCATGTCCCCCTGGAACTGTCGGTTGGTTGTTTTCTCCTCCAGATTGTTCATCCAGCCTGTCTTATTTAGACAAAACCACAGAGATAATAACTTGTACAAAAACAGGGATTCCAAGTTTATCCTAAAGTTATATCCCTCAAAAGAGCTTCAGATATCAGAATAGTTTAAAATAATTATGATTTCTAATGTCTAAATAAAGTAAACTCGGGACTCTTGCTGAGTTCCCAAAATAACTAAACTATGGCAAGGATTCATTCGTTACTTTATTCATTGAACAAACTTATATTAAATCCCACTGATTACACAAGCTTCAGTCTCAAATAATTGTGAGCATGAGAAAGATAATGCAAATCTAAAGTGTGCTTAATTCCATCGAATGTCTTCGAGATGTTTATCCACATAGTTTGTGGGAAATATTGTATTAAAATTGATAATAAAATGGTCAAGTGATTGATTTCTGTTGTTGATTTTTTTACCCATTATTCTCCATTCAGTCCTAAGGGAATTGACCTGTAATAAAAATATTCTTCATGATTTTTGTTTTCTTAAAAGATTATAATTAGACATGGTGTCTTAGGAAGTAAAAGACAGTGGCACCGGGATTGGTGACCTGTTGGTAGGTGGACAAACATGGTCTTGCTCCAACCTTGCCCTACTAAGATATGTATTATTACAATATGTAGTATTAAGATATGCATTATTACATCAAAGCTATGGAAGACAGTCTCAGTGATTATTATCATAAATTTCCCTGACAATTAGCCCCCATTGTTTGTGTAAATAATGTCCATCGACAAAAGACTTGATTCTGTACACGTGAATAATTCAGGTACTGTGATATGGAGTTACCCTGCATTGACCCAATATCCCTCTCTCAACAGGGACTTTAAGAAATTAGTACCCAGGGGTTAAGCACAAATAGTTATGCCTCAGGGGGATGATCGACGACTCTCTACCATAAATTTAACAAGGCTTGCAATTCCCTTCCTGAACTTCTACGAAAGAAAATA